AACTAAAGTCAAAGCTGGCATTGATCTTTCTCATATCACATAACTCTTTTACTCTTTTGCTTCCTTCTTCCATATTTTAAGAGGCATGGGAGGCCAGTATGCTGTCAACCATATATTCATTCTAAGAAAAAGAGCAATCCCCAAAGAAAAACAGATTCTGAGGCATTTTTAGGGAGCATTGATGGCCTAAGGGCAAGAAGCTGTGCTGTAGTCCTGAAGGCACACGTTTCAGATCCACCTTCTGCTCTGCAGGAGAAGGATGGCTGGTCTTCTCCCTTGCAATTAACTGCCTCTGAAAAACCACTAGAAGGTCAGTCTTGGGTTGGTTCTGACTTGATGGTGTACAAATAGCAAGACATTTCTGCTGCCATTAAAACAGTACACATATTACTAAATTAGGCAGCTACTTTGTTTGGTGATGTGATAACACGTGCTGCTTTGATTTGTTGAAAATCAGCTAGCCTAGTTTTCTCTTCAGTTGCAGTTCAATCAATCACAATTCATGGAGATCTGATAAAGTTAGAATAAAACTGTGGTCAAGATCTTGTAGCTTGCTGAAGATGCAAAAGTTAAGGATTTGTTTCCCAGATTTCAGGAAACCAGTTTATCCTAGGACTGTGTATTTTCTACTATAAATGCAGTATATGCCTAGAGTTGATGCAAAATTGACAGTTGGATTTGCACAGAGATGCTTCTCATAGAAAGTGCCCACAAATTTGGTTTGGTTGAAGTCTGACTTAACAGTGTACTTTGTTTTGTCTCTCCCCCACCTCCAAATATCTACATATATTACCCACCACACAAAGCATTCTCTTGTGGAACACTGAATGTTAATTTCTGCTTTTGCTTACCTGGTTGCAAGACATACAGAGGAAGAAAAGTTAACTTCTGGCCCTGATTCATCACTTTTATTGAAGTTAAATTCTTTTGTTTTAATGCACACTTGATTGAGCAAGCATTTATTGAGGCAGTTATGGTTTGTAGGAGAAAAAGACAGTTGAAGAAAGAACAAATGAATCTAATGTAAATCAAATACTTAGCCCTTTTATAGAAACTACAAAGCCTTAAATGTGTGTTCTTAATGGTAATTTTTACAAAACTCCAGTAAGAAGCTTTGACAGTGATTGTTTCACTGGGAGATGGGTTTTTCCTTTCACATGCTAATCACCTGCTTGTGCTGATATTTCTCTCCTTGACTGCAGTCACAGAATTGAATAATTTATAGAATGAATTTTGTTGTAAATTTATTGTGTCACAAGCAGGTTGTAATTTCACTAACAGTTCACTTAAGTTATTAAGTTTAAAAAAATACGGTTGATAGGATATTGCATTTGGAGGGCTTTTTTTCCCTTTTTACCTCCAGCAAGTTCACATCTTATATATTTTCAAAACAGAGTATTTGCCTGATTTTTTATTCAGAATCTGATATGAGAGAAGGCAGAACACATTAACATAAGTGGAATTGCATCTTCACACTATTGTTGAATTTAGGAGTGGTAAACAAATTATTGAAGATTTTATAGAGACAGAAATAGCATTAAGCCCAACGGTACTAAGGTTCTACCACTATTGTTTCCTATTTGCCTGTGAATAATTGTCTCTGGCTTGCCCACCAATGAGTTGGTGTAAAGGTGAAGATGCTTCTATGAAGGAGACAAGGCAGATTAATCATGTTAAATTTTGCTTCAACTGGAAAGTTAAGGTGCTTAGATATTATCATTTCCCCAAAGCCCATTCAGTCAACAACAAACAACAACATCAATAATAATAATAAACCTTTAAACATCTCTTGCTGGAGGATGTCACTGGCCGCCATTTGCATTCTCAGGCTTCCCCTTAATATCTGTTCTTTTGTGATAAGGGAGCTCTGGTGGCCTTGTGGTAAGAAGCTTCACTTAAGAGGCAACATTGACTACTACAGAAATCTCTGGTTTCTGCCCCCAATGTGTCGGCATTCAGAAAAGAGACATTTAAGGTCTCTTGTTATTTACGTTGAAATTTTTTTTTTATTGACCTTGCCAGTGTGAATGAATTTCAAACAAGTCGTTTCTTTTTCTATATGAATTATTTCTCCAGGTTCCTGGTAGGGGTTACTTGTAATTCCTCTAGGAGTTCACTCTAGTCTTGTTAGTGCCCTTCGGGTTTGCTTTCTATTTTCTACCTTGTCCTCTATGCAAACCTCCTCTGCCTTCACCCTACCCTGGGTGTTCCAATCCCTAAGCAGGGGAGACTGAGTAATAGCCACTTTTCTTGAATGGGAATATTTTGAGGCCTTCACAATAAAGATTTCCACCATCTGTTACATAGAAAAGAAATATGTTACACAGAAGCTAGAAATATGATGCGGGAAAACCAAATAAATCAAACTTATGGTTATTGAGGCCATTCTGCTTCCTAATGACCCTACAGGACAGAGTTAGGGACCCCTATGGCATTTCCAATGCTGAATGTAAAAAAAAAAAATTACTCTTTTTTATGATTTGAGTAAGTTTACAGAGCATATTGGTTTTATATTCAATAATTCATCCATATTATGTTTTACAACATTGATCACAATACCCATATTGCAACAATACTCTTCCCACTTCTGCTCTGTGTGTCTTGATTTCATTTGTTATTCTCTCCTATCTCTTCCTACCTACTTTCAAATCTTAGATTAGGGTCAGAATCAATTAATTGCTGACCTCCACTGGGCTTCCAGAGGCTATAAGATCACATGGGAGGAGACTTCCCATTTTTCTCCGTTGTAGCAGCTGATGGATTCATACTGTCAGAGGTACAGTCTTGGTTCATAAATGACTCATAGATTTCCAGAGGTTGTAAATCACCTAGGAAGTGATTGCCCATCTATCTCATGCACAGCACCTAGTGGATTTGAACCACCTGCCTTTGGATTGGAAGTGTAACTCCTTACCCACTAGGCCACCAGAACTCCCTGTTTAGCACGTGGCAAATGTTACTCTTTTGTTCTGTTATTGTTGATTGCTTTAAGGAGTGTAATTCTCTCTGATGCTACAGATGACCATATAAAGTTCTATTGTATGACCAAAAGTTGAGTTATAGTGTTGCTAGATGCTGAGTCTAAATAATGATTAGAATGTTAGACATTTGTGTGAAAGGAAAGGTATACATTTATTAGAAACCACCTCTTCCCTCCCCTCGCCCCCGCTGCCAAAAACCACCCCCAAACAAAATCTTTCAGGAGGAGAATACACAAGGAATGGGAGGAACAGAAGTGTGTGTTTTCAAGCAACACATGCTCAGTTTTTCTAGGTGTTTTTTTTTTTTTTTTATGGTGGGGGTATTTTTCAGGACTAAAAGGAGGTGTGGTGTTTGCAAAGCTTCAGTTGGCTGACTGGAAATTTCCTTTCTCCTTTGTGCATGCACACAACTTCAAGATAGGGAGAGTGGTTCAAGGGAGTATGGAAGGTGGTGGCAAAACTTATTATGGGATGATAGTGGATATCTATGCCACCATGGCCTCCAGTTTGATTCCCATTTCTTTAAACTGCTGTTTAATGTCACTGGTGGTGTATTCTGTAAGGAGCTGCACTATTGGCCTAACAGTGATGCCTTTCTGGTGGTTCAAATCCACAAACAGCTCCAAGAGAGAAAAATGGACAATATTCTGTGTGATTTACAGCCTTTGACATTGACTTCTGGAAGGTGATTTCAAAGCTCTTGCAATAGTCTGTTGGATAAGTGGGCATATGGAGCCCTAATCAGATGGTTTAGGTGGGGATTTAGACCATTCAGTAACAGTTCAGCAGAGATTGTGAGGACGACAGTAATTTGTTCTGTTGTACATGGAGTCATTGTGAGTTGACTAGATGGCACTTATCAAGTATCAGAGTGTCAGCTCCATCCCTGGGGTGATGGAGACGAAAGGACAAATATGAACTCCATTTGACCAGAGTGTAGTCAAAGCTCTCCACTATTAGATCTTTTTCCTTGTGAAATTCTCTATTGATCTGTGTTTATGTTTCAAGTCATTATTGGTTCTTCCTCTGTGCTAGATCTGTTTGTTTGGCTTTTCAGACCCTGTTTTCTCTCCTGCTTGGCTTTGCTCCAGACCCTGGGAAAGCGCTATCTTAGAACTCCATCATCTAGTTCTCATTGCTCAAGTTTTGTAGGGACTGTAGCTAAGAATGAAAGTTTTGTGTTATGTTTTTGTTTTCAATTTCTGGAAGAAAAAAGCAAGTTCTTAAAAAGATGATATTTAAGACTAAGGGACAGGATGTTCTTAGAAGCGCCTGTCAGGTCTGGGAGGTAGGAGAAGGAGACTTATCGAAGGCAAGTGCTACAGCAGGTTCATACCCAAGTTATGCAATTTACTGTTACAGTTTTGCCTAAGGTTGATGTTACTACCTAATGTTAAAAAAAAGAACATTTTAATAATACTAAATTTGCTCATTAGTTTTATTTTTCAGTTCATGGACCAAAGACTCTGTGGACTGAGAGCCAGATGTAAGTGTTCTGAAATGCAGTGTAAACTCACAAACCACCGTTTCAAACCTCTTATTATGCAGATTTCTGAGGTCTGTGGCACTGGGGTGTCTCACCAAGGCCATTTGCTCTTTGTGTCATTTTGGGCCTTGTACCTTGAAGAAACTAGTTTCTTAAAGTGATCTTTAAGAAGCCTAGGGAGTTCTGGTGGCTTAGTGGGATGAAGCTGTGTTGCAATCCCAAAGGCTTAAGGTTTGAAACCAAAAGCTGCTTCATAGGAGAAGGATGGAAAATCTCCTCCCTTGTTATTAACTGCCACTGAAAACCTGCTGGAAGATTGGTTCTCGCTCAACAGCACACACAACAATGATTGTACAATGGTTAGGTGTTAACCAAAAGGTAAATACCTGGTGGATTAAAACCAAAGATGAGTGGTCTGTTTCTATAAAGATTTTTCTTGCCTCTCTCCCCACCCCATCTTTGAGTACTCAGGGCAAACTTCCTACCCTCTTCTTGGCCTCCGCTGCCACCTAGCTCCATGTACAGCAGACATCATGGGCTTCGGAGACCTCAAGACCACCACTGGCCTCCAGGACCTCAATGACTACTTGGCCGACAAGAGCTACATTGAGGTGTATGTGCCATCTCAAGCAAATGTGGCTGTGTTTGAAACCATCTGTAGACCCCCAACTGCTAACCTGTGTCATGCCCTATGTTAGTATAATCACATCAGGTCTTACAAGAAGGAAAAGGCAGCCTGCCAGAGGTGAAGAAAGTGTTGGGCAAGTAAAGCCCTGCTAATGTGGAAGACACCACTGGAAATGGAGCTGCAGACAGTAGAGATGACAGTGACATTGATTTCTTCGGATCTGCTGATGATGAGAAAAGTGAGGAAGCAAAGAAGCTAAGAGAAGACTGTCTTGCACAATATGAATCAAAGAAAGCCAAAAAACCTGCCCTTGTTGCCAAGTTTTCAATCTTACTAGATGTGAAGCTTTGGCATGATGAAACTGACATGGCAAAATTAGAAGAGTGTGTCAGAAGTATTCAGGCAGACGGCTTGGTCTGGGGCACTTCCAAGCTCGTACCAGTGAGATATGGAATTGAGAAGCTTCAAATACAGTGTATAGCCAAAGATGAACATGTTGGCCCAGATAAGCTGGAAGAACAGATAACTGCTTTTGGAGACTATATGCAGTCCATGGATGTGGCTGCTTTCAACAAAATCTGAAGTCCATTTGCATCCATCAATAAAAATTTAAAGGAAAAAAAAGGATTTTTCTTGGTGTTAGGTGCATTGAGCTGATTATGACTCAAAGTGACCCTGTGAACAACAGATGTGAAACTTGTCCTACCCTGTGTCATTGCCACCATCTCTGATATACTTGACTTGAAAATTACAGCCTGAGAAAACCATTGAACATTCTACCTGTGCTGTGGGGTCACTGTGAGTCATAGTGGGGTCAAAAGCAATGTAAATTAACTTCTAAGCGAAACAGTAGTCCAATAAGCAGTTTAGTGGAGACTCTTTGGCTTTCATCATTGGACCTTTTTTGGCGAATTATATACCTACAGGCACTTTGGAGAACGAGGAACTCCAGAGTCTCACTAAAAGCTGTGCTTTTTGTAATTTATTATTGGTTAAATTCTGTTCTAAAAGTTGTTAAAATGTTATTTATACTTATATAAATAATGGAGAGTTCTGGTGGCATAGTGGTAAGAAACTATGCTGCAATCCCAAAGGTATGGGGTTCGAATCCACCAAATGCTACACAGGAGAAGGATGACCAGTATCTTCCTATGAAATTAATTGCCTCTGAAAACCTACCAGAGGGTCAGCTATGGGTCAGTGCAAACTCAATGACACACAACAACCTATAAATAATATATTAGTAAAAATATTGTTATATATGCCCCCTCTTTCAATGGCAGAATTGATTATGTGGTGTAAGAGTCTCTGGGGGTTTTGTCATCTTTGGAACAATTTTGACTCCTAACTCTATAAACTTTGATAAATGTCAGTAGTTATAGAAAGGTGTCAGGCCTTTTGTTCATAGTGTTGCTATGAGTCATGCTCGACTCTACGGCAATCAACAACAACAACAACAGTGGAAATGTTACCCTGATTAGAAAGTCATATATAAACTTCAACCAATATTTGTTATTGGTATAATATTTTTTTAACAAGCAGAAAGACAGTAAAGACAGGTAAGCAGGTAATTAAAAAGGAATGCCCATTTTTAGCAAGTCAATTCTAACGCATGGTGATCATACAGAACAGAGGAGAATTACCCCGTAGAGTGTGATCGTGATAGCGCACTGCTACATCTCTCTTCCTCAGAGCAGCTGGTTGGTTCAGAATTGACTCAGTAACACCTAACAATAATGACAACATTGTGAGATCAAGGAGAAAATTGGAACCACTTTAAATTGATCAGTCAGGTCTAGATTGCCTACTTTAGGTTAATATTTCTGGGAGAATCAATTGGTTTAGATTTGGGTCTCTGGGAAAGCTAGCCATTTACATGAACTAAAACTTCGGTTTCAGTTTGTTAGCTTGTGGATCAGAATACACTACTCCATCCATGCTGGGTCCAGTTTAGTTAGTAAAAAAGGGAAAGCTCTCAGGAGGGGAGCTAGCACAGGCCTAGACAGGGATACAGAAAGGACAGCGTTTTGTGGAAGTGAGAGTGTATAAGTGTGTGTAATACAATGCAAAGGTTGGTATGAATGCAAGAGAAACAAGAGGGAGCACTGACAATGAGAATGGAAGGTTAGCATTCTAATTATCACATGATGGTCTTGAATGCTGACGTAGAGGTTTTTAAAAACTTCATTTGATAAGATAGCATAGAGTCATGGAGGGTTTTTGAGCATGAGAGTGAGATGATTAGAGGATGATGATGTACATACAGGTTGTTTAATTTGTCATTCAAGACAAATGTACAGGTTGTTTAATTTGTCAGCCCTTTGAAATTCCTCTCTATTCCGGTCACCATGTGAAATCAGATTAAAAGTCTTCTGGCTCCCATTTCCACAGTTTCTCTTGATTCCATGCCCTCATTCTTTTTTTTTCTTCTTACTGCTAGTGGAAAGTTGAAGAGTTATTCTTTCGGTGCAATAATACGGTTTCTCTGTTTAGAAAGCTCACATTTTTAACATCTGCAGAGGTGTAGTAAGGGATATGAGTTAATATTTCCACTAAATAATTAGCTGGTTGTCTGAGCATATGGATTAGTATATCCTTACTTCACTGATTTGAAAAGCCAAAACATAGAGGATAAAGTCCAAACTGTATTATCAGATTTTGTGGTGTTCTTTAAATTCTAATTATGCTAGCCTCTCTTATATATCATGTAGGTGCTTTGTTTAGTGTTATGTTTTCTAAGATACTACTGCACTTGATTTTTCTTAATTTGGTCTCCTTCAGAAACAAACATGATAGAGCATTTGAGAAGTGAGAAAAAGAAAGGAAAACAGCCAATGAACCAAAACCCCTCAGTGCTGTAAAGTTCATTCCAACATATAGTGTGACCTTGTAGATCGAGCAGAACTGTCTTCTGAATTTCTAAGGGCATTAATATTCATGGGAGTAGACTGTAACATCTTTCTTTCATCGAGTGGGTTTGAACCATGGGCCTGAAGTTGCACTGCTAAACTAACATGTCTAGTGGTGTGAATCCATCAGGGACTTCTTGAGAAGTGAGCAATCTCTTCCCACTGTAATTTCCAGTCTTAGAAACCTATTAGAGGGTCTTTGTAGGTAAGAACTGACTCAACATCAGTGAGTGACTGAGTCTGGTGCTCATCTGTATTCTGCATTTAATCTCCACACCCCCCCCCCCAGTCTCTCTACATCTAATGCAAGCTTCAGTGTCTCTTCTGACACCCATTTTGACTTTTTCTTTCTTTCCTATCTTTTTAATGATCTTTTCCTTTCTTTCTGGATGATGTCCTTGATGTTATCCCACTCATCTGGTCATTGGTATTTAGAGAGCATCACATCTATTCTGAAGTTGGTTTGAAAATCAATTGGGATAGATTCAAGGTTATATTTTGGTTCTTATAGTCTCAGTTTAATTTTCTTCATCTTCAATTTTAATTCAAAGCTCTTAGTGCAGAATACCCAAGACAATATACAGCCTTCAATATGGATTACATTTAACATTAAGAAAATAAAAATCCTCACCACTGAACCAATAGGCAACATCATGATAGTTGTTGTTATTGTTATGTGCCGTAGTGTCGACTATGACTCATAGTGACCTTATGAATAACATATCTAAATCTGGTCCTGTCCTGTGCCATCCTCACCATCCTCAACATATTTGAGATCCTTATATAGTCACTGCGTCAGTTCACCTTGTTGAGGGTCTTTCTCTCTTCCCCTCAGCGTTTCCAAGCATGATGTCCTTTTTCAAGGACTACTCCCATACTAACAATATGCCCAAAGTATGTAAGGTGAAGTTTCACCATCCTTGCTTTCCAACGAGTGTCCTGTGATGTACTTCTTTACTATTTTGGTCTCCATGGGATGTTCTGTATTCTTCTCTAAGACCACAACCCAAAGGCATCAGTTGTTTTTCTGTCATCATAGTCATTGTTCAGATGCATATCAGGTAATTGAAAAGACCATGGCTTGGATCAAGTGCACCTTAGGTTTTAAATGTGCATCTTTGATCTTCAGCACTTCAGAGAGATCTCTGACCCAAAGCAATACATCTTTTGGTTTCTTGACTTTTGGTATCAAGGATATTGAAGCTGTCACTTTCTTTTACTTTACTTCACAGTCAATACCCTTCGTAGCCACAGTCACGAAATCAAAGGATGTGTTTTACTGGGAAAATCTGCTGTCAAGGACCTTGGCAAAGTGATAAAGAGCAATGATGTCTTTAGATTAAGGTATGTTTGTTCCAAGTTATGGTATTTTCAATTGTTTCTTTTTTTAAAATTTTAACAGAAAATGAAATATATAAAATTTTTTCATTGTTGCATATTTTCTTGTCTTCTTTCCTGTCCCTCCTCTACTGAAAGATCTGTGCTAGGAGCCCACCAACCACTCTTTGGGAACAGGCCAAGGCAATCTGTTTCCTATAAGGTCACTGTGATTCAGAATTGATTTGCAGCTGTTGGACTGGGTTTATTTAGTTTAGAACAGTGTTGCTGGCGAAGACTACAAAAAAAATCATCTTAAGAGTAGTTAATTAAATGCTTATTAAGCATATTGGCTAGTTAATCTGGCAGAGAGTTATATAAGGACAGTAATGGAGTTTTAAGAACTGTGCAGAAATTCTTGGTCAGAAAAATATGCTAACCTATAAACCACCATTCATTGTGTGTTTTCAATGAGAATGTTAGCATAAAAGCTGATACTTTGTGTCAGTAGAATTTAGCACACTCCTTTGCATGTTGTTATACTGAATAAAAAGTTGTTGGATGAAAAGATAGTTCAAAACATTATGATTGAAGAAATTATATTGAAATTTGAAGACAAAACTGCATTTTCCCAAAGTCTTGTGGTGAAATAAGCATCAACTTGGTTATTATTGAAAATCAGTATGTGATGAAATAAAAAACTTTGTCAGTGGCTTTAATCCTACTGTTCTATCTCTCTATCTTTCCTTTCCTGAACCCCCCTGGGTTTACACTGACTTATCTGTTAAAAGATATTGATGACCATCTACGTATCAGAATTTTATTTAAATCTCAGAATATAAGCATACTTGTTTTATTGTACTTTGCACGTAAAATGATTTTTTTAAATTAGAGATGTAAAGTTTGTGTCAATCCTGCATCGAGCAGGTTTATTTGTGCCATATTTTCCCCACAGCATTTATCTGTGTCATATTCTGGTAAGATTCATTATGAAAACATTTCAAACTTTAAATAATGTGATTATATACTCAGTATGTGTATAACATGAGCGTAAATTTATTTTTTTTATCTTGCCAATACATTTTAAAATTTATTTTTGTGTGCTTAGTTGGCTGTGGAGCCATTTTATATGCACTGGGAAACCAAACATTTGTGTACCTAACTTTATTGTGGTGGTGTGGAACGGAACACGTCTCTAAGGTATAAGGGTATAGAAATTGCTCTTACCATTTGCAAAGTCTTATTCTGGCCTGGTTTTCCCTTTGAGTTACATTGGTGGCATTGGGAAAATCACTTAATCTCTGTTAAGTAATGATCTTTACAATCTGTTACTGTTCTAAAAATTGATAATTTCAA